ATTTACAGAGGAGCAACGTAAATGATTTGCTCCTCATGTCTTCTCATCCCTCTCAGCAAGTTCAGCGTCACACATCAGTGTGCATTAGCTATAGCAATGATGCGTGAAGGAAAAGGAAATTATTCAAAGGAAGAGTAGGGAAAGAGGCTATGTGGAACACAGTTCTCTAAAACACTTGAGATTGAGAGCAACCAGTGGGTCTGCCCTGTAACATGACATAATCAGTTCAGTCAGTGTAGATCTTAGGAAAGGTTGGTTTGGCTGAGATAGGGAAGGATGCGTGTGTGTGCGTGTGCGTGTGTGTGCGTGTGTGTGTGTGTGTGTGTGTGTGAACGTGCGTCTCTCCACTCACAGAGTGCCTACTGCTGAATCAGTACATATCAGAGGCGTGTGCACACACTCAGCAACTGCAGTCAGCTGACTGCCCTCAGCTTCAAGTTCATGTTGCTTCGCTTCAGAAGGCGGGCTGACCGAGGGAGAGATTGTTGGAAGGAGGGATGAGGCAAGAAAAGAGTGCTCTACTGCCAGAACTGAACGTATAATCAAGCAGCTGCTCTCGTCATATGAATGGCAACAGCGAGAGAGTGAGAGGAAATAGGCAGGAGAATAATAATGAAAATGCACCTGAAAGAGGGAGATGCTGAGTGTGTAAGAGAGGGATACAGAGGGAGATGCTGAGTGTGTAAGAGAGGGATACAGAGGGAGATGCTGAGTGTGTAAGAGAGGGACACAGAGGGAGATGCTGAGTGTGTAAGAGAGGGACACAGAGGGAGATGCTGAGTGTGTAAGAGAGGGACACAGAGGGAGATGCTGAGTGTGTAAGAGAGGGACACAGAGGGAGATGCTGAGTGTGTAAGAGAGGGACACAGAGGGAGATGCTGAGTGTGTAAGAGAGGGACACAGAGGGATATGCTGAGTGTGTAAGAGAGGGACACAGAGGGAGATGCTGAGTGTGTAAGAGAGGGGTACAGAGGGAGATGCTGAGTGTGTAAGAGAGGGGTACAGAGGGAGATGCTGAGTGTGTAAGAGAGGGACACAGAGGGAGATGCTGAGTGTGTAAGAGAGGGACCAGAGGGAGATGCTGAGTGTGTAAGAGAGGGACACAGAGGGAGATGCTGAGTGTGTAAGAGAGGGACACAGAGGGAGATGCTGAGTGTGTAAGAGAGGGACACAGAGGGAGATGCTGAGTGTGTAAGAGAGGGATACAGAGGGAGATGCTGAGTGTGTAAGAGAGGGGTACAGAGGGAGATGCTGAGTGTGTAAGAGAGGGGTACAGAGGGAGATGCTGAGTGTGTAAGAGAGGGATACAGAGGGAGATGCTGAGTGTGTAAGAGGGGGGTACAGAGGGAGATGCTGAGTGTGTAAGAGAGGGATACAGAGGGAGATGCTGAGTGTGTAAGAGAGGGATACAGAGGGAGATGCTGAGTGTGTAAGAGAGGGATACAGAGGGAGATGCTGAGTGTGTAAGAGAGGGATACAGAGGGAGATGCTGAGTGTGTAAGAGAGGGGTACAGAGGGAGATGGATACAGTGGGAGAAACAGCTAGTGAGCAGCAGCAACAGTAGTCGTCAGTAGTCACGATGTGGAGCTTAGGGTAATCTGTAATGACGCTATTATGGTGATGACGGTCAGAGGCAGCCTGGCTCCTGGACTTGTCCCCAGGTCGCAGAGGGACAAGAAGGACAAGAAGGGGGAAGTCTTCCTTCCTCCTATCCGTTCCTGCTCCACTTTTCTTTTTTCGCTGCCCTTCTCTTGCCCTCTGCTTTTATGTAGTATTTCCCTACAGCACTCACACAGCATCAGTAGCCAAGTGTATTTTTAGCCTGCGCTGGACCGAAGTATCCAGTCTCAACAGCTCCAGCCTTTGCCTATTGCACATCTTTTTACCCCTCTTCTCCCCTCACCTTCTTCTCTCCACTTGCCTGCCTCTAACCTGTTGGCTGGCCGTTTTCCAGGGATATCACTGCTCTGGTAAGGAGGGAAACTTACTAACTCCTTGTTTTCTTGTTTGTCTGTCATTTCCTTTCATTTGTGAATGTGGCTTCAGACATTTTTAAAAGCTGGTATCAACAGTGTAATGATTGCCAATATGTGTAATGTTTGTATACCTTCCCTTAGCTAGAACCGTGTCACCTCTACAGAATGTTGTATTGTCTCCTCAGAACCGTGTAGTTCCCTGTACTAGTAAGTGTATTTTAGAGCATGCTAAATATGGACAGGAAAGTAGTTTCCCCATTCAAATACCTTTGTGTCTCCTGCTCTCTGCTCACATCAAGGAAGCTCTGAGTCAGTAAATGTTTTGACAACATCACTTGACTTATGCAAATCTAGAGTTAGGGGTGGGCAGGCATGCTGGAGTCACTGTACAAACAGTGTACAAACGTAACCCGATACCACAGGTAGAGCGCTCATTGATTAAAGTCCAATGCTCCCGGCTCTCGCTTTCATTTCTCTGTGAGTGCTCGTACTGCAAGGATGTACATCAAATACCTGATTCAATACGCATCTCTGACCTGAAGACTTCATTTTAATTTAGTTGCTTAAAATCCAGCTCTTAACTTTAGTAAATTAGGTTCTACTGGTAGCATTTTCAAAAATATTTGGGGAGGGTGTCAATCTTGTAAACGAAAATCTTGTTAGCATAACAGTTGAGGAGTCATGCTCACAGAGTTGACGTTAGCCGCCAAAGGCCACCAAAGGCATCCCCGGTTCAGCCTATCCTGCTATCTCAGGCCAGGCTCTTCCTCTCCCAGCCAAAGGTGGGTAAGCCTCAGCCATGCCAGTGTAATCTCCACTCTGGGTCACCAGGCTTTATTCTGGGCCTTAGTGCCAGACATGCTTTTTTCCTCTCTCGCTCTCCCTTTTTTCACTGTCTCCTGCATGCAGCTGTTGCTTTTTACAGCACCTTCCGTTGGAAGTGGTCATCCGACCCAAACTCACAGCAGGATTCAGGCTCTGCTGGGGCGGGAAGGGCTGGTTGTTGGCTTTGGCTAAGACAGCAATACTGTTATCTTTAGTGAAACGTCTTCGTTGATGGTTTTTATTACTTATAGACAGTGTGTTCAGTTGGTCATCTGCCATTTACTGTGTCATGAAATTAATCGCCTCTCAGTATATGGGTCATGTTATTATTTGATGTTTCATTCAGCATTATGCTTTCTTCTGTTCATTGTGCTGTATATTAACTGTTTCTTGTTGGGCATGACGGAAAGCCGAAGCAGAACCCAGAGAATTGATTCAGTTTGGCGCAATGCCACACTACTGGCCTTAATTATTATATACTTCAGAGAAATGGTATCAGTGACCTATTTTTGTCCTATGCAGTTGAAGTGACATAATGTCCCATAATCACCTGCAGGCCTATTCCCAAGATGCATACCTCAAAGGAAACGAGGCGTACAGGGGAAACGCCGGACACATCCCGGAGCCCCCTCCCATATGCTACCCGAGGACAGAGCCTAAAGCCCCAGGGATGGCACATGCCCCTGACCCATCCCCCTCCACAGAGGCCCCCCGGGGGGCCAGGCAGGCCCAGGCAGGGGCAGGAAGACAGGGCACCTCCACCTCCATGCCAGGCCACACAGACATGGGCTACCGGGTGGAGATCCCTGTCCCCCCCTCTCCGCCACCCCCCCAGGCCCCTAAGACACAGATAGTGCTTTGTGTGTGCAACGAGAGTGTGAGGACAGTGGTGGTGCCGCCTGACCCAGTAGCAGATCAGGGCCCCCGCTGTGTGGCTCGGGCTGGCCCCAGCCATACGATAGAAGAGAACCGGTACGGAAGTCCCCTGGACTTCTCAACTAGGCCTATACACCTTGTGGCTCCTGGCCACCCTGGAGGGTCACAACTACAGTACGCCCCCATCCCCACCCGGCCCACAGAGCTCTCAGTCTTCTCCCTCTCTGGCTCTAGGCCTTCCCTGATCTACCCCGACACACAACACCTCACACCCTCCCCGCAAACCCCGGCGGGCAAAACCTTCCCCTCCCCCACCTCACCCAACCACTACACCCCCTCACCCTCCTCCCCTGCCACCTCCATCTCCCCCCACCAGAACATCGACTGGCGCAACTACACTACCTACAAGGACTACATTGAGGCCAAGCGGCTGCACACCTATGGCTTCCGCACTATCCAGGAGCGCCTGGACAGCCTGCGGGCAGCAGCCAACCCCAATGCTGCTTACGCCCTGCAGCCTGGCCCTCCTCCCAGCGCCATTGCCTCCTTCCAACAAGGCCTTGGGGGGTCCCAGGTCAGACGTAGGGGCACATCCCACGACCGGGGGTCCTACCAGGAGGCCATTGTGGCCCCACTGCGCAGTGCCTTCCAGGAAAGGCTAGGCGAGGGAGGGACTGAGAGGACAGCCATGCCCAGGGACTGGCCCCAGAGTCCCTCCCAGGATGCCCTGCCTTCCTCAGCCCCCATAGGGGTAGCAAAGCCCCAGGCACGATCCTGCGACTACCTGGGCCGGCAGAGTGAGCCAGCGGCTGTGGTATATACAGAGAGGGGAGTGTACAGCAGGGCAGAGCTGGAGGGCAGGCTACTGCTGTACAGGGGCGAGGAGGCCAGAGCCAGCAGACAGGGGGCAGCGCTGAGGCAACTACACCAGCCTCACAGGACCAGTCTTACAGGCATGCCCATCGCTATGTTCACTAAAGATACAACAGAGCTGTTGCTCCCCTCTAGGAGATACAGCCTTGCACAGACAGCCTTCAGTACGCCCTCGCTGGTGCCTGTCGAAAACTCAGCCTCGGACCCATTGCCACCGGCCTTGTCTTACACCCGGGGCCTTCGTAACAGCAGCGTTATGGACCTGCTCAAAGACCAAAGAGCCGTGGTAGTGGGTAACCACCTGGGCTACTCCTCTTCTCCCCAGCAGCAGCTACAGCTCCGGGGGCAGGCTGACAGCCTGAGTGAGGAGAATGGGAGGGAGGTGGGGCTGGGTGCCAGGTCCTCCTCCTGCACCGGCTCCTCCAAAGTTCCCATTCAGAGACAGCAAGCCATCCCCTCCTCCACTACTGTGACCCTCAAGTCAAAGGTCCCTGTCCCGGTGCAGAATAACGGGAGGCCGGTGGAGGGCATAGAGGGGCCAGACGCCACGGTGGTAGTCCTGAGGAGGGATAAGAACTCGGGACCCCAGCCTATCCGCCACCCCTCATACATCCTGGCTGTGAACGACACTGATGTCGAGATGCCAACGGAGGTGGGGACTCCAGCAGCCAAGGGAGGATCGGAGTGCTGGCTGCCCAACGACACCCAGCAAGAGGTGACCATGAGAAGGCTGGGCAAGCAGCGCAAGGCTTCGTGCTCCAGCAACCTGGACGACTCGCTCGACTCCATCCCCTTCATCGGTAAGAAACACGTTTCTGTTCACTTTCTCGACTTCTTTGTTCCCATAGCAACTCCTCACAGAAAGGGAGAGTCCTGCGAAGGGATGGATGTGTGTGTGTGTGTGTGGTAAGCATACACTTTAATTAGGTAACGCCTTCATAACACACTCTAACCGTTAGTCAATCGCATTTGCATTGTAAATTGCATATCAGGAGTTCCTGTTGCTCCGGTTTCAGCTTACTATAGGAGAGAGAGAATTTGTTTTGTTTGTGTGTAGACTGATTCGCTTAATGTGCCTGGCAAAGCACATAATATCTCTTGGATGGAGAGGTTATATCAGTGTTTTAATGTTTTATCAGTTTCTGCCCTCAAGTCTTAGCAGGTGGGATTTGTCATGCAGTAAAAGTCCTGATGTTCAGACTTCCTGCTGCACTGTTACAAAATGTCATAAATGTCCTTAACATCATAATGTCACCATAGCTTTATATTTTTCTCTTGATGGCTTTATACAGTGAGAGAATTTGGATAGAGTATATCACCAATGTACATATTGATGGAAGTAATTGAGCTATAACAGCTTTTGGTGGCAGTGGTTTATTGGCTGTCTGAACAGAGCTGGCTTTGTTGTTGAGGTATGTCGTAATGCTGGGTCAGGGCAGGACAAATCTATTTGAAATGGGGAAACTGTATAACGTGCATTCCATTTCATGTTGATATACTGTATTGCCATTTTATTTAGCATCAGCAGATATGTTGATTTTAAAGTGTCAGAGTCAGCTATTTATAGCCCCGTATTTAGTTCTTTACCTAAACAAAACATCTTACAAGAGAAGAGGGTACACTCAATGTTGACAGCATGCTTAAATGCACCAATGTAAACAAATAGTGTCTTAATTTTAAAAGGCAGACAATCAGTTCAACAATTACATGTCTTTATGAGGGTTAAAGGAACATAACTAATCTAAAGTGGATGTCCCAGTAAGCTAGAGTGCTCCTGGCTGTTTTGGATCAACATGACATCATGGCAGGGTCAGGCAAAGGATTTTGTGACACTGCACTGCATGTTTGTTTTACTATCCTTTTGGGGATCAAACAATTGATTCCCATTCAAAATCAAATTTTCCTTAACCTAACCTTAAACCCAAACCCTAACCACAAACTCTAAACCTAACCCCTAACCCTAATTCTAACCCTAAGCTTAAAATAGCAGTTTTCTTTGTGGGGACCAGCGAAATGTCCCCACTTGTCCGAATTGTACTTGTTTTAATATCCTTGTAAAGACTTCTGGTCCCTACAGGGATAGGAAAACAAAAAACACACACATACACACACAAATGCTCAAACATAGTCGCACACACACAAAATAAAATCTCATTTATCCCCCAGTATTGTAAAGCAGGGGAAACCTGAGAGGAGTCTACTCCTAAAAGGCTGTGGCAGATCGTAATGGAACTCTTAATTGATCTTTTTTGTTGTTGGTAAAATAGACATATTATCATGTCTTTAGTTTATGTGTATTCGACTGTGTTGTTTTTTTAAGAGTCTGAGGTGGATTTAATCTTAACGTGCCAATAGTTTCATTGATGAGACCGAAGGATCATGAACTTGACCTGTCCATTAACTGGGGTGGCCCCACATGAGTCATCATCCACCAATCAGGGCAACTTTTACTCAGACATACACCAGTGGCCTAAAGCCCACATCAGTTAATCATATCCTCTTACACACATAGACACACATAGACACACAGACACACACACACTAGCCCCAGAGATGGGCTATCCAATGTCAAACCAACTTTGCCACGGTCGCACACCATACTATTAGCTGAGCAACACTGTTTGCACTATGACTAACTGATTCAATCCCCAACCATTTTGATCTGTTTTGGGTAGTCTTACATTTGGACAGCTGTTCCATTTTAATCAAGTACATGTGTCGAGCAATGCTGTTTGTTGCTGTTCTCACGAACACATGAAATAGGGAACATCTGTCTGGTATCATGGGAGCAATCTGTGAGATTATGTTGGGGAATTTCACTGCAACGATCTCTGCAGCCGAAAACCAGGTCAGATGTTTCATATTAATGTGTGCTTTTAAATTTGAAATGTTTTGCTTAGGCACACATAGGAATGGAAGCTTTCAGATTGCTCTGGTCTATGTTTTATTTTCCTTTTAATTAATTATTTGTCCCACATATTGGCATATTGATTTTATTTGGACCAGTTCACAGAAATAATACTACACGGATGATACAGATACATCTGTGAAACACTTTGTTTTAGGATTATAATTAACTGCTTTTGGTAGTGATACATTTCTGTTTGCCCTGTTATTATTCATACATTCTCAATTTCATGGCACTCCCCTTCATTGCCAGACGCTTCCATCCTGTATCTTGCGTCACGTGCTGCCTGGTCAAACAGAAATATGGGATAGAATGTCAAAGGCAGTGTTACTCACTGTTCTCAGTAAAATGATGACTTGCCTGGGTGTAGCCTTACTGTTCAGACTCGGTGACAGTTACGTCTGAGAAGGGTAATGAAATGTCAACTCACTTTCCCTTCCTGTGTGTTTGTTGATTGTGGCGGTTGTGGACTGGGTTACCTGTCTAGTGACCATGCTGTCTTTGATAAGCGTCATGTACTCATAACCAGACTGTGTGTTTAGTTGTAGGCCTATATCTCCTCATGTCATTTGTGTTTTATTGGTGTCAAACAGAGAACTTAGACTGCTTCAGTATGAGTTTCACTCAATCCTAAACTGTGATGCTTGACTGTGTATTTGTGCTATAGTAGGCTTAATTTACGTTTGAGACTGACTACTTTTACCAGGATTTATGATTTCTCTATCTTTATTCAATGATGTTTTTGGAGTAGAACGGGCGGCAGGTAACCTAGCGGTTAAGAGTGTTGGGTCAGTAACCGAAAGGTCGCAGGTTCGACTTTCCGAGCATACTAGGTGAAAAATCTGTCTATGCCCTTGAGCAAGGCACTTAACCCTAATTACTCCTGTAAGTCGCTCTGGATAAGAGTGTCTGCTAAATGACTAAAATTAAAAAATGTAGAACAGGAATAGTGTCTATTCTTGTTTAACTTTGGTTCTCCTCACATAATTTCCAGATGAACTATCCAGTCCAAGTATCGATCACGACACCAGTCACATTTCCACTTCAGCTGTAATATCTGTTACTCCATTCATCACCACCATCCCGCCCAGCCCCACTTCTCCTTCTCCTCTCAATCGACGACAGCTGTCACATGACCACGGTAAGGTTACCCCCTTTTTAGAAAAACTGGCCAGGGACTGACAGCAACGATATGCATGCTTTAAGAATTGGGTGTTAGAAATGAGTTGATGGCTGAATTTGAATACTTGGTCCGCAAAAAGGCTTGGGACACTTACAGCCTTGAGCTAAGACCTTGATCATTATTTGGCTTATTTTTTTAAGATTCTCTTCGGCTCACAATTATTGAGCGGTCCAAATCCTACGATGAAGGTCTGTATAACTACAGGGAAGGGTGAGTCCTCCTAACTGTAATTTGGCCTAAAACAGTGGACCAGTGCAGTGTCATGAACATTTTAGTCCTTTCCGTTAGACTAACTTGTGATGATTGTTTTCTAATTTCACTCATGTCTTCCTTGTAGGAGACAAATACCTGGTCTAAAGTGCCTTAGGAAGGTGAGTCCGACCTCAACACACAGTAATATCAACCCAAGTAACAAGAAACTGTAAAAGTGACAAACCCTCTGGTCACTTTCCACAGAAATGGTGGTGTTCCTACTGGCTGTCAGACTCGACTGCATCATCATTATTTGCATATCCTGTTCACACCCTTTAGATATGAGTCTCTCCTCTGAATGGCTGGTATTGATGTTGGCCAGTAGCGGTTGTAAAATGGATATTGAATAAGCCAAATGAGCTCTAAAGACCCAGCCTGGATGCCAACCTTGCCATTTCTGTCTGTCTGCTCACTGGAGGGGGCATTATAATAGTCCAAAGTCAGGCAAGGGTCATCCAATCAGCTAAACTGTCCACTGGAGGGACTCTACGTGACCATTCCTCATTATCCAGCCTGCTGAATGGCCCCAGAGCCAGACTGAAAGGACAACCAGCAGAGCAAGCAGACAGCTTTCCAATGACTCTGGGTTACTGAAGGCCTTGATTAAGGTTGTGAACACAGCAGAGCAGAACTTTGGGAGCTATGGCGTGATTTAGCAGCTTACAAAGCCAAGCACTGTACATCATGTATGTTTGAGACTGTAGTAAGATGGCGCCGACAGACATGGCAGCTCTGCTTATAGCTCCTAAGCAACTTTGCAGTATTTAGTTTTTTTGTGTGTTATCTCTTACATTATTAGGCCAGAACGTTTTTTGTGTTATTACATACAGCCGGAAATAACTTTTGGATATCAGAGTGGAGGTAACTAACCAGCATTAAGACCTGGAATACGACTTTCCCGAATTGGATCCTTTGTTCGTACCCCGCAGGGCAATTGAACTTATCCCAGAGGCTGCTCCAAGACGCCGCCGGCGGAGAAGAGGTATTTGGAGTGGACTTCTAGTCCGACTCAGGAGGCGTGCACACCATCCACTTCTTCTGAGTATATTACTTGCTAATGTTCAGTCTCTGGACAATAAAGTAGACAAGCTCAGGGCGAGGATCTCCTTCCAGAGAGACATCAGGGACTGTAACATACTCTGTTTCACGGAATCATGGCTCTCTTGGGATATACTGTCCCCGTCCATACAGCCAGCTCAGTTCATCGCGCAGAGGAATAAAGAACTCTCCGGGAAGAAGAAAGGCGGTTTTGTATGTTTCATGATTAACTACTCATAGTGTGATTGTGATAACATACAGAAACTCAAGTCCTTTTATTCATCCGACCTAGAATACCTCACAATCAAATGTCAGCAGTAAAATTAGATTTAAAAAACAGATAAAAATACACCTTATGGAACAGCGGGGACTGTGAAGCAACACACACAATGGCCCACAAGGAACTACACTGGACTTTATAGAAACTGGAAACCACATATCCTGAGGCCTCATTTACTGTAGCTGGGGATTTTAACATAGCAAATTTGAGGAAAACGCTACCGAAGTTCTATCAACATATTGACTGTAGTACTCGCTCTGGGAAAACACTAGACCACTGCTACTCACACTTTCGAGATGACTACAAGGCCCTTCCCCGCCCTCCCTTTAGCAAGTCAGATCACGACTCCATTTTGCTCCTCCTTCCTATAGGCAGAAACTCAAACAGGAAGTACCCGTGCTAAGGTCTATTCAACGCTGACCAATCGGAATGCATGCTTCAGGATTGTTTTGATCATGCGGACTGGGATATTTTCCAGGTAGCCTCTGAGAATAACATTGACGTATACACGGACACAGTGAATGAGTTCATCAGGAAGTATATAGGGGATGTTGTTCCCAAACCAGAAACCGTGGATAGATGGCAACATTCACAAAACTGAAAGCGTGAACCGCTGCATTTAACCATGGCAAGGTGACTGGGAATATGGTTGAATACAAACAGTGTAGTTAGTCCCTCCATAAGGCAATCAAACAGGCAAAACATCAGTACAGAGACAAAGTGCAATTCAACGGCTCAGACACGAAACGTATGTGGCAGGGTCTACAGACAATCACGGATTACAAAGGGAAAACCAGCCATGTCGCGGACACCGACGTCTTGCTCCCGGACAAGCTAAACACCTTCTTCGCCGCTTTGGGGATAACACAGTGCCATTAACGCGGCACGCTTCCAAGGACTGTGGGCTCTCGTTCTCCGTGGCCGACGTGAGTAAGACATTTAAGCGTGTTTACCCTCGCAAGGCAGCCGGCCGAGACGGCATCCCTAGCCGCGTCCTCAGAGCATGCACTTGCCAGCTGGCTGGAGTGTTTACGGATGTATTCAATCTCTCCCTATCCCAGTCTGCTGTCCCCACTTGCTTCAAGATGTCCACCATTGTTCCTGTACTCAAGAAAGCAAAGGTAACTGAACTCAATGACTATCACCCCGTAGCAATCACTTCTGTCGTCATGAAGTGCTTTGAGAGGCTAGTTAAGGACCATATCACCTCTATCTTACCTGACACCCTAAACCCACTTCAATTTGCTTACCGCCCCAATAGATCCACAGACGATGCAATCGCCATCTCACTGCACACTGCCCTATCCCATCTGGACAAGAGGAATACCTACGTAGGAATGCTGTTCATTAACTATAGCTCAGCCTTCACCCTGGGTCTGAACCCTGCCCTGTGCAACTGGGTCCTGGACTTCCTGACGGACCACCCCCAGGTGGTGAAGGTAGGAAACAACACCTCCAATTTGTTGATCCTCAACACTGGGGCACCACAAGGGTGCGTGCTCTGCTTCCTCCTGTACTCCCTATTCACCCATGACTGCGTGGCCACGCACGCCTCCAACTCAATCCTCAAGTTTGCAGACGACACAACAGTAGTAGGCCTGATTACCAACAATGACGAGACATCCTACTGGGAGGAGGTGAGGGCACTGGCGGAGTGGTTCAGGAAAATAACCTCTCCCTCAACGTCAACAAAACAAAGGAGTTGATCGTGGACTTCAGAAAACAGCAAAGGGAGCACGCCCCTATCCACATCGACGGGACCGCAGTGGAGAAGGTGAAAAGCTTAAAGTTCCTCTGCATACACATCACTGACAATATGAAATGGTCCACCCACACAGTCAGGAGGCTAAAGAAACTTGCCTTGGCCCCTAAGACCCTCACAAACCTTTACAGAAGCACAATTGAGAGCATCCTGTCGGGCTGTATCACCGCCTGGTACGGCAACTGCACCGCCCGCAACTGCAGGGCTCTCCAGAGGGTGGTGCGGTCTGCCCAACACATCTCCGGGGGCACACAGCCTGCCCTCCAGGACACCTACAGCACCCAATGTCACAGGAAGGCCAAAAAGATCATCAAGGACATCAACCACCCAAGCCACGGCCTGTTCACCCCGCTACCATTCAGAAGGCGAGGTCAGTACAGGTGCATCAAAGCTGGGACCGAGATACTGAAAAACAGCTTCTATCTCAAGGCCACCAGACTGTTAAATAGCCATCACTAGCCAGCTACCGCCCGGTTACTCAACCCTGCACCTTAGAGGCTGCTGCCCTATATACATAGACATGGAATCACTGGCCACTTTAATAATGGAACACTAGTCACTTTAGTAATGTTTACATACTGCTTTACTCATCTCATATGTATATACTGTATTCTATTCTACTGTATTTTAGTTAATGCCACTGACATTGCTCGTCCTAATATTTATATATTTCTTAATTCCATTCTTTTACTTTTAGATTTGTGTATCTGCAAAATATGTGTATGTGCCGAATAAAATTTGATTTAATGAGGTAACTTGTGTGTTTGTTGTGTTAAAGGTGACGGTGGATAGGTCTTTAGAAGATTCCGGATCCAGGAGAGATTCCTCATCAGATGTCTTCAGTGATGCTACCAAGGAGGGCATGCTCCATTTCCGACAGATCAACACGGACAAGAACAAGGTGTGTGTGTGTACAGTGCTATCCACACACACACACACACACACACACACACACAGGGATTAAGGGGGTCAATTATATCACCTGTGACATGGTTTAGAAAGAGTAGTGGATAATCCTTCTGTTCCTCTGGTAGATATTTGGTTACAGTAATGTCTGTTTGTGCATTGCACTTGCCAGACCAGTTAGGCTTTGACCTAAATGTGTTTTAGGTTCCTTGTCATGCTCCTCCTGTAAGTTGCTCTGAATAAGAGCTAAATTACTAAAATGTAAATGTTTGCCTTGAGGTCATGACTCCCCCTCTAGTGGGTTACACTGGACTTGATGACAGCTCATACTCTGTTGGAGAACCATTTTGGATGAGATGCATCAAGGATGTGGAGATCTTTAATGTGCAATGGCATCACATTTTACATTTTTAGCAGAGGCTCTTATCCAGAATGACTTACAGTTAGTGCATTCATCAGCTAGGAGGGACAACCACATATCACAGGCATGGTAAGTACACTTTTCCTCAATAAAGTAGTTATCAGCAAAGTCAGAGCTAGAAAGGGGAGGGGGGGGGGGGGGCGGAGTCAAGTGCAAGTGTTGGTTCAGGATGGTTATTTTAGTGCTCAGGTTGGGGTGTATGGTTTAAGTATAGCCTGAAGGTAATGAGGGCCAGTTCCTCTTGCTGCTCCGTAGGCAAGCACCATGGTCTAGTAGTGGATGTGAACTTCAACTGGAAGCCAGTGGAGTGTGTGGAGGAGCGGGGTTACATGGGAGAACTTGGGAAGGTTGAAAACCAGGCGTGCTGCAGCGTTCTGGATAAGTTGCAGGGGTTTGTTGGCACAAGCAGGGAGCCCAGCCAACAGCGAGTAGCCAAGACGGGATGCTGACCTAGGCAGAGTTGCAAAGAAAAAGCCATATCTCAGACTGGCCAATAAAAATAAAAGATTAAGATGGGCAGTCTGAGATATGGCTTTTTCTTTGCAACACTGCCTAGAAGGTCAGCATCCCGGAGTCGCCTCTTCACTGTTGACGTTGAGACTGGTGTTTTGCGGGTACTATTTGATGAAGCTGCCAGTTGAGAACCTGTGAGGAGCTTGTTTCTCAAGCTAAACACTCTAATGTATTTGTCCTCTTGCTCAGTTGTGCACTGGGGCCTCCCACTCCTCTTTCTATTCTGGTTAGAGCCTGTTTGCGCTGTTTTTTGAAGGGAGTAGTACACAGCGTTGTACGAGATCTTCAGTTACTTGGCAATTTCTCGCATGGAATAGCCGTCATTTCTCAGAACAAGAATAGACTGGCCATTTTGAGCCTGTAATCGAACCCACAATTGCGGTTGCTCCAGATACTCAACTAGTCTCAAGAAGGCCAGTTTTATTGCTTCTTTAATCAGCACAACAGCTTTCAGCTGTGCTAACATAATTGCAAAAGGGTTTTCTAATGATCAATTAGCCTTTTAAAATGATAAACTTGGATTAGCAAACACAACGTGCCATTGGAACACAGGACTGATGGTTACTGATAATGGGCCTCTGTACGCCTATGTAGATATTCCATTAAAAGTCAGCTGTTTCCAGCTACAATAGCCATTTACAACATTAACAATGTCTACACTGTTTTTCTGATCAATTTTATGTTATTTTAATGGACAAATAAATAGCTTTTATTTCGCAATCAAGGACATTTCTAAGTAACCCCAAACTTTTGAATGGTAGTGTACATACATTTACAATCATTAACATGTAGTGTGTGTGTGGGCATCTATCAGTTACACATACATGTCAGTACATACACACAACAAGTAGGTCACATGGGTGAGAGGCGTCGTGCCGTGAGGTGTTGCTTTCTTGGTTTTTTTGAAACCAGGTTTGCTGTTCAGTTGCACTATATAAGATGGAAGGGAGTTCCATGCCCTCATGGCTCTGTATAATACTGTACTGTTTCCTTGAATTTGTTCTGGACCTGGGGACTGTGAAAATACCCCTGGTGGGGTAAGTGTGTGTGTCAGTGCTGTGTGTAAGTTGACTATGCAAACAATTTGGAATTTCCAACACAATGTTTCTTATAAAAACAAGAAGTGACGCAGTCAGTCTTTCCTCAACTTTTAGCCAAGAGAGACTAGCAATATTAATATTAGCCCTCTGATTACAATGAACAGCAAGACGTGCAGCTCTGTTCTGGGCCAGCTGCAGCTTAAATAAACTCAGCAAAAAAAATAAACATCCTCTCACTGTCAACTGAGTTTATTTTCAGCAAACTTAACATGTGTAAATATTTGTATGAACATAAGATTCAACAACTGAGACATAAACTGAACAAGTTCCACAGACATGTGACTAACAGAAATTGAATAATGTGTCCCTGAACAAAGGGGGGGGGGGCGTCAAAGGTAACAGTCAGTATCTGGTGTGGCCACCAGCTGCATTAAGTACTGCAGTGCATCTCCTCCTCATGGACTGCACCAGATTTGCCAGTTCTTGCTGTGAGATATTACCCCACTCTTCCACCAAGGCACCTGCAAGTTCCCTGACATTTCTGGGGGGAATGGCCCTAGCCCTCACCCTCCGATCCAACAGGTCCCAGACGTGCTCAATGGGATTGAGATCCGGGCTCTTCGCTGGCCATGGCAGAACACTGACATTCCTGTCTTGCAGGAAATCACGCACAGAACGAGCAGTGTGGCTGGTTGCATTGTCATGCTGGAGGGTCATGTCAGGATGAGCCTGCAGGAAGGGTACCACATGAGGGAGGAGGATGTCTTCCCTCTAACGCACAGCATTGAGATTGCCTGCAATGACAACAAGCTCAGTCCGATGATGCTGTGACACACAGCCCCAGACCATGACGGACCCTCCACCTCCAAATCGATCCCGCTCCAGAGTACAGGCCTCGGTGTAACGCTCATTCCTTCGACAACATAACACCTCCTCCTCCATGCTTCACGGCGGGAACCAAACATGCGGAGATCATCCGTTCACCTATTCTGCATCTCACAAAGACACAGAGGTTGGAACAAAAGATCTCACATTTGGACTCATCAGACCAAAGGACAGATTTCCACAGGTCTAATGTCCATTGCTCGTGTTTCTTGGCTCAAGCAAGTCTCTTCTTATTATTGGTGTCCTTTATTAGTGGTTTCTTTGCAGCAATTCGACCATGAAGGCCTGATTCACGCAGTCTCCTCTGAACAGTTGATGTTGAGATGTGTCTTTTACTTGAACTCTGTGAAGCATTTATTTGGGCTGCAATCTCAGGTGCAGTAAAGTCTAATGAACTTATCCTCTGCAGCAGAGGTAACTCTGGGTCTTCCTTTCCTGTGGCGGTCCTCATGAGAGCCAGATTCATAGTGCTTGATGGTTTTTGCGACTGCACTTGAAGAAACTTTCAAAGTTCTTGAAATGTTCCGGATTGACCTTCATGTATTAAAGTAATGATGGACTGTCGTTTCTCTTTGCTTATTTGAGCTGTTCTTGCCATAATATGGACTTGGTCTTTTACCAAATAGGGCTATCTTCTGTATACCACCCCAACCATGTCACAACACAACTGATTGGCTCAAACGCATTAAAAAGGAAATAAATTCCACAAATTAACTTTGAACAAGGCACAGCTGTTAATTGAAATGCATTCCAGGTGACTACCTCATGAAGCTGGTTGAGAGAATGCCAAGCATGTGCAAAGCTGTCATCAAGGAAAAGGGTGGCTATAGTTTTGATGTCTTCACTATTATTCTACAATGTAGAAAATAGTAAAAATAAAGAAAAACCCTTGAATGAGTAGGTGTGTCCAAACCTTTGACTGGTACTGTATTTCTCATACTTGTCATTAAGTAATATCATTGTTTTTGCCTCTCCTCTCTCTCTCTCTGCAGCATGTTGGTGGGGGAATGTGCACCTGGAAGCAAATGTATGCAGTGCTGCGAGGCCACTTCCTCTGCCTATATAAGGACAAAAAGGAGGGACAGGCTCACGCCAACTCCCAGGTGGAGGACGAGCCCCAGCCAATCAGCATCAAGGCCTGTCTGATTGACATCTCCTACAGCGACACAAAACGCAAGAATGTGCTGCGGCTGACCACGTCGGACTGTGATTACCTGTTCCAGGCAGAGGATAGAGAAGACATGCTGGCCTGGATCAGAGTCATACAGGAGAACAGCAACCTGGACGATGAGGTGAGGGACACACCCACATCCTACAGGAGATGACATCCTATCAAGTCTTCCAGGATTGACAGAACATTTTGGCAAAGGGAAGTCAAACCATTTCTGTTTTGGTATTAAAGACATGATCAACCTCATTGATGGGCAATAATTCATTAATTACAGAAAAATATACAAAGTATCTTAATTTCTGTGTCACTATCCCTACCTTGATAAGGATCAGCTAACAGTGATTGGATATGGGTCATAGGTCACATAATACACACATATGACCTGACCCTGGTCTACTGTATCTTAAAATAGGCAAACGGAACCAGGTCCTCCCCTCCAGCTACGAAAAAACCGAAGCTCTTCTTTCCCCTCCATTAAGACCTTAACCACACTACCCCCCCCCCCCCCCCCCCTTCTTATTTTAGAACGCAGCCTTTACTAGTTGTGACCTCATCAGCCGGAAGATCAAGGAGTACAACACCTTGATGAGGTAAGCAGGGCGGGGCCACAGAGAGGAGTCGTCCCTGGTTACAGAGGGAGATTCAGACTTGTATGGACTGCTACTAGTGGACGTCAGACAGCAAAACGTATTGTGTGTGTTTACATTTGAGTTTGTGTGTGTGACCCAGCCCGACAGGCAGTAAGACCGAACCGTCGCCCAAATCGTCACGCCAGTCACTGAACATCAGACAGACGTTACTGGGAGGGAAGGGGGAGCCAAAATCTCTAAGTCCACACTCACTTAAAGCGGAGCAGGACAGGAAAAACATGCATAAAGGTAAGAGTCAGAGGAGAGGCCTCTTAATTTCCGCTTAGCTCTCAACAAACCTCAAGAACCAATTTACTTGAGTAATGTGAATGTCTGATTGATCTTTGAGCATGGCTTTGAATATTCCAGTTTTGCTCAATCTATACAATATGTGTGTGTAGGTGCTCTTGTGTGAGACTATCCTCATGTTTTGTGTGTTAGATGACACCAGTCCACCCAAGGACAAGGGGACGTGGAGGAAGGGTATCCCAGGGCTGATGAGGAAGCCCTTTGAGAGGAAGCCTTCTCCAGGCGTCACGTTTGGGAGGAGGCTGGACAACTGCCCTTCAGCCGTCACCAACAGGGTAAGATTCAATTCACGCCTACTCTCTCCATCTCCTCTCTTTTAAGCTACAGTTAATTGTTTTATTAATTTATTGGAATGGTTTATCAGAAAGTGTCTTCCTTCTCAACACTTTGTAGCACAACTTTCTGCGGGTGCTGCCAAGGTGCCATGGCATTTGGAATGGGCATCATTGATGAGTCCATGTTGTGTGTGTTGTAGTTTGTTCCCCTCATCGTGGAGGTGTGCTGTAACATGGTGGAGGAGAGGGGGCTGGAGTACACAGGGATCTACAGGGTCCCAGGGAACAACTCAGCCATCACCAACATGCAGGAGGAGCTCGACAATAAAGGCATGAACGACATCGACACCCAGGATGATGTGAGCGACTCAACAGAGCACATTATGTCTCTCTCGCTCTCCAATTGTCTTATGCTCATTCTCTTTATGTTGGCTCTATCCTTTTTTCACACCTTTCTTCACTCACCTTTTCCGTGGTATTTTCTTACCTCCTGTCTAAAATCACTTTTTTACCTGCCTTTGACAGAAATGGAGGGACCTGAATGTGATCAGCAGTTTACTTAAATCCTTCTTCCGTAAACTTCCAGAGCCTCTGTTCACCAATGGTAAGAATATTCAAGGAGTCCCTTTAAGGAATTGCCTTACATTAAGGGGTCACAATTCCACCTAGTGGCTGAGTGTGAAACCTACAGTTAAGTACATTTGCGACCGACCGCCTAGATTCGGTCTTATGTAGCAACATTTGAAATTGTGTTTTTTACATTAGATAAAAGTAGAGACTCAAGCTAGAAAATGGTATATCATACACTGTAGTTGAGGAACAATGGGAAAGTAATTCTGCTTTAAAAGTTTATAAACTTGTAACCCCACTTTTGAGAAAATGGCCCTTGAATGTTTTGGTACACCTACTGGAGAGCTCTTCTTTGTCTACAACCCCCCAACATCGTTCACACCCTCTTAAGCCTTAGCCCCACCCCATCTCTTTAAGGATTCACATGTGAGGCTATGTGCTAAACAGAGTGAGTAGTTTAGTAAACAACCAAAGATTTCAAGGCTAAAAGTGGTAAAAGTAGTAGCTTACAATAAGGAAAAACTCCAGGTACACTTTATCTAGTCCTTGGCCTATATCCTCATCTGTCTTTGGTGCAGGTCATGTTCTTCAGACAATATATCTAATAAAATCTAAGTTTAATTTTCACATGCATAGGATACAGAAGGTGTAAACGGTACAATGAAATGGTTATTTGCATAGTAGCAATATCAAAAACAGAAAGTGTCCAGTTAAAAATACACTGCTCAAAAAAATAAAGGGAACACTTAAACAACACAATGCAACTCCAAGTCAATCACACTTCTGTGAAATCAAACTGTCCACTTAGGAAGCAACATTGATTGACAATAAATGTCATATGCTGTTGTGCAAATGGAATAGACAACAGGTGGAAATTATAGGCAATTAGCAAGACACCCCCAATAAAGAAGTGGTTCTGCAGGTGGTGACCACAGACCACTTCTCAGTTCCTATGCTTCCTGGCTGATGTTTTGGTCACTTTTGAATGCTGCCGGTGCTTTCACTCTAGTGGTAGAGACGGAGTCTACAACCCACACAAGTGGCTCAGGTAGTGCAGCTCATCAGGATGGCACATCAATGCGAGCTGTGGCAAGAAGGTTTGCTGTGTCTGTCAGCGTAGTGTCCAGAGCATGGAGGCGCTACCAGGAGACAGGCCAGTACATCAGGAGACATGGAGGAGGCCGTAGGAGGGCAACAACCCAGCAGCAGGACTGCTACCTCCGCCTTTGTGCAAGGAGGAGCAGGAGGAGCACTGCCAAAGCCCTGCAAAATGACCTCCAGCAGGCCACAAATGTGCATGTGTCTGCTCAAACGGTCAGAAACAGACTCCATGAGGGTGGTATGAGGACCTAACATCCACAGGTGGGGGTTGTGCTTACAGCCCAACACCGTGCAGGACGTTTGGCATTTGCCAGAGAACACCAAGATTGGCAAATTCGCCACTGGCGCCCTGTGCTCTTCACAGATGAAAGCAGGTTCACACTGAGCACATGTGACAGACGTGACAGAGTCTGGAGATGCCGTGGAGAACGTTCTGCTGCCTGCAACATCCTCCAGCATGACCGGTTTGGCGGTAGGTCAGTCATGGTGTGGGGTGGCATTTCTTTGGGGGGCCGCACAGCCCTCCATGTGCTTGCCAGAGGTAGCCTGACTGCCATTAGGTACCGAGATGAGATCCTCAGACCCCTTGTGAGACCATATGCTGGTGCGGTTGGCCCTGGGTTCCTCCTAATGCAAGACAATGCTAGACCTCATGTGGCTGGAGTGTGTCAGCAGTTCCTGCAAGAGGAAGGCATTGATGCTATGGCCCGTTCCCCAGACCTGAATCCAATTGAGCACATCTGGGACATCATGTCTCGCTCCATCCACCAACGCCACGTTGCACCACAGACTGTCCAGGAGTTGGCGGATGCTTTAGTCCAGGTCTGGGAGGAGATCCCTCAGGAGACCATCCGCCACCTCATCAGGAGCATGCCCAGGCGTTGTAGGGAGGTCATACAGGCACGTGGAGGCCACACACACCACTGAGCCTCATTTTGACTTGTTTTAAGGACATTACAGGCTGATCCAACTTTGATGTAGTGTGGTTTTCCTCTTTAATTTTGAGGGTGACTCCAAATCCAGACCTCCATGGGTTGATACATTTGTTTTCCATTGATAATTTTTGTGTGATTTTGTTGTCAGCACATTCAACTATGTAAAGAAAAAAGTATTCCCTTTATTTTTTTGAGCAGTGTATTTTATAATTATTAGATTACGCTTACCCGACACACTTGTCTAAATTAATGGATAATGTGAAGGAAATTCTATAACCACCCCCCAGCCACATCTAGCTAAGTGGATGGGTCACTATTGTCTAGACATGTACACATGTTCTTGAAATACAATAGATGGTCATAATCACCCCCAGACACACCTGGCTAACTTGATGGGTCATGTAAATGTCTGGTGAAGTGGCATCTTTTGTTTAGACATGTAGCTAGCTAAACAATAAACTGGCATAATCCCAACTCATACTACTACCAATACAAACGTTGTCATAGCTGTAGTATTAATCTGCAGGTAGCTAAAGAGCTAACCAACTAGGTTCAATGTTAGCTAGCAAACATTAGGCTATAACTAGCAATGTAAATGTATTTCTGATTCGAATAATATTACTACACAGATCATACACATCATGTTAGCTAGCGAGCCAGCAAGCTAATGTTTGCTAGCTAGCTAACAGTACCCTTTAACTTGCAATGAAAACGACTTTGTGACAAAATTAGAAATTTATTATATCTGAAAATGTAGCTAGACTCTTACACGTATACATGGATGAACGCTTCACTGCAGACTGGAACCATTTAACTCTAGCTGTGTCAACTCACTCCGGTTCACACTGACCATGACGTGTGCAGAATGTAGCCCATCACTTTTCCAACTCATCCATTATCTCAGTCAATCATGGCTAGAGGGAAGGTTCCTGTCTTTTTCTGTGTCTAAACCAACTAGGCACATAATTTAACAATTTTATTTGTATTTACGAATGGAATATAGGCTTGTTATTAAAGCATATGAAAGTTCACATGTTCCAGAAGGCATTTCTGCCAAAGAAAACTCATTTTAATAAAAAATAAATGTTTACGTTCTCTCCTGTGAAGTAGTGACATGCGACATACGCCTAGTTTCCTGAAACGAGTCACATATTCAGTTTAGTATTCACTTTCATAACACCAAGAGCCTTTATCTTCTTGTGTAAAACCAATGTCCGCTTCATTTGTGCCATGTAGAGAAGTATGCAGACTTCATAGAGGCCAACAGAACAGAGGACCCAGTGAAAAGACTGAAATTGTTGAAGAGGATGGTGGGTTCATGTGACATTCATTATGAACTTAACTGATAACATTGCATGGTGCCTATATTAATCCTACTTCTCACTGCAGCTACACGAGTTGCCAGATCATCACTACGAGACCCTCAAGTTCCTCTCGGCTCATCTGAAAACAGTGTCTGACAACTCTGATAAAAATAAGGTCTGTCAGTTTCCATCTTGAATAGTGGCTGGCAGCCCTAGCGTTCAACTTAGAGAACCTGTGATTGTATTGATGGTATGTACGTGTAAAGCATATTTGTGTTCCTAACTATCCTTTGGCTGTGTGTTAGATGGAGCCAAGGAACCTGGCCATCGTGTTTGGTCCCACTCTGGTGCGCACCTCAGAGGACAACATGACCCACATGGTCACCCACATGCCCGACCAGTACAAGATCGTAGAGACTCTCATTCAGCATGTGAGTCCCACTTACCACCTTAATTGCAGACACAAGTGGACTGTTTGTGCATAATTTGCATATCAAACAATTTCTGCTTGAACTCATTTGAGTACTTGATAAAAAAAAGTGATCCCCTAAAGATAACGCTCCCTTTCTTTTGTTCTAGTACGACTGGTTTTTCATAGAGGAAGGCAACGGGGAGCCAGTGGTGGGTACAGTCACATTCCTGCCCTCAATGTGACCTATATTATTCCTGTCCTATTTGCTCTTTTCTGCGAGGCTTATAGAGTGTTCACCCTGTTGCCTGACTCTGTTTCTTTCAGACTATGGCCCGATATGAGAACGCGGTGGAGTCTCAGCCTGTGCCCAACATCGACCACCTGCTCACTAACATCGGCCGCATGGCCGCAATGCAGGGGGAAGTCTCAGGTAACGTGTTCCCTGGACCAGACCGATACTGTGGTGGTGGGTCAACCTTTTGCTACCTTTACCCTGCTAACCACTGTGTCTGTCGCTGGTGAGACCAATGTATTTTAGTCTAAGAGCGTATCATGCCGTGAGGTTCAATGTAATTAATGTCTGGAGAGTGTTGATGGATAGTGCTGCTTTCTTCCTAAGAGAGCCTTCTTTGCTTCATTGGCTGTACCATGATATAGAAAAGTCTATGCCAAGTCATAACTCAAAAAGCCTGTGTGAGTTTGCGAGGGCAAATTATTTTTTCCTCTTCTCCATGAGACAAAGGAGAAGGGTGAAAATAATTAGTCTGATTTTGCTTTGTTTAAGACTTTCCTCCCTTTGCTTCAAATTTTCAGCTAAATGTATTTGCCTAAAAATTACAAGGTTCTTTAACTTTCTTCAACCTTCCCCCTGTGTTTTTTTAAACTCCACTGGGCTGTCTGTTTTTCTCTCCTCCTGTTATTAATCCTACCTATTGTTGCACTAACACAGCATGTTCTCTCCCAAAGACAACACGAGAAAAAAAGCAACAGGCGAACTCAGGTCCCTCTGTCTCTAGTGCCACTCTATCGAGTGTCCTAAAGGATTTCCCAGCATTCACACATACTGATCTTGACACAGACCAAGTGGGAGGAGTCTATCACACCATGATGTCACTGAAGGACTCTAAAATGTCTATGACGGACAGCTGGAACTGTAGGAAGAAGGAGGATTGTTGCCCCCAGTGTAGTTGTCTAGTCTGCAGAAACCCTAGTTTCTTTTAAGCTTGAGAAAACCGGCTTAAGAAAAACGTGATGAAACCGTGTGACAAAGAAAGCAGAGCAGCAGCTACATGGTACTGTACATCCGGTGGTGTCCGTTTTGTATCTGCTGTCTCTCCTCAATGTCTCACAAGCTTCTCACAACAGGAGAGATAGGATGGTATGGACCCCAGGTTTCCACCTCACCAGTCAATGTGCACTTGCGTCAAACACTTCAGTTCGGAAAACAGGCGCACTGGAAAAACAACAAAGCACACGGGTGAAAATAACCCGGTGATACAAAATAACAAAGAGCTCCACCCAGCTAATCGAGCCTCCACAATAAACAATCACACACAAAGACAAGGGGGCAGAGGGAACACTTATACAGGTACTGATGAGGGGATATGAACCAGGTGTGTGTAATAAACAAGACAAAACAAATGGAATGATGAGATGAGGAGCGGCAGTGGCTAGAAGGCAGGTGACAACGAATGCCAAAGACTGCCTGAACAAGGAGAGGAGGCTGCCTCGGAAGAAGTCGTGACAGGCTCTGATGCTACGGTGCCAGAACCGACATTGAAATGGCATTAGGTTAGTGGAGGAGTGGCAGAGAGAGTTCTGGGCATATTCGGCCCATGGCAAGAACACCGACCACTCCCCCGGCCGGTCCTGGCAGTAGGACCGCAGGAACCTGATTCACCCGTTCCACCTGCCCATTAGACTCGGGGTAAAAACCAGAGGTCAGGCTGACCAAGACCCCCAGACGTTCCATGAACGCCTTCCAGACCCTGGATGTGAACTGGGGACCCCCAGTCAGAAACTATGTCCTCTGGCACCCCGTAGTGCCGGAAGACTTGTGTAAACAGGGCCTCCGCAGTCTGCAGGGCCGTGGGGAGACCGGGCAGAGGAAGGAAGCGGCAGGCTTTGGAAAAGTGGCCCACAACGACCAGGATGGTGGTGTTACCTTGAGAGAGGGGAAGATCAGTAAGGAAGTCAATACACAAGTGGGACCATGGCCGTTGTGGAACTGGTAAGGGCTGTAACTTACCTGCTGGGAGGTGCCAAGGTGCCTTACTCTGGGCGCACACCGAGCAGGAGGAGACATACACCCTCACGTCCTTAGCCAAGGTAGGCCACCAGTACTTTCCGGTCAGGCAGCGCACTGTACGACCGATACCTGGGTGACCAGAGGAGGGGGACGTGTGTGCCCAATAGATCAGACGGTCACGGACAAGAGAAGGCACGTACTGCAGCCAAGCTGGACACTGAGGTGGAGATGGCTCTGTGCGTAGCACCCGCTCTATGTCCGCGTCCATTGCCCACACTACCGGCGCCACAATGCAGGAGGCCGGGAGTATGGGGGTGTTGTCTATGGGCTTCTCCTCTGTGTCGTACAGCCGTGACAGTGCGTCTGCTTTCACGTTCTTCGTACCCGGGATGTAAAATCAAACCGGGTGAAGAATAGGGCCCTTGTTTGTAGGTGACCAAATACTTATTTTCCACCATAATTTGCAAATAAATTCATTAAAAATCCTACAATGTGATTTTCTGGATTTTTTTCTTCTCAATTTGTCTGTCATAGTTGACGTGTACCTATGATGAAAATTACAGGCCTCTCTCATCTTTTTAAGTGGGAGAACTTGCACAATTGGTGGCTGACTAAATATTTTTTCCCCCACTGTATGTCATGCATAAAATGCAAATGAATTACTTAAAAATCATACATGTGATTTTCTGTCTCTCACAGTTGAAGTGTACCTATGATAAAAAATTACAGACCTCTACATGCTTTGTAAGTAGGAAACCTGCAAACTCGGCAGTGTATCAAATACTTGTTCTCCCCACTGTGTGGTGTGTGTATATATATATATATATATATATATATATATAATATATATATATATATATATATGCGAGAAAAAAAATGTAAAATAATAAACATATGGGGGATGGAAGTGATGCAGACAATTACATTGATGGAAGTTACAGTCTATCTGCAATATTAAAGCTGATCTACCCCCTAGAAGAAGAAAAAAAGACTCACTAACACAATCAAAAACTAAACAGGTGGAGTTTTAGGAGGGGTTCTGAAAGACACTCATGGGGGTGTCCACTGAAAGTTGACTAGCAACAACATTAAGGACCTAAAGACACCCACCATGAGCGGCCACTAAATTTGCCCAAGAAGAAAGCCACACAAAATAAAACCCCACACCACACTTAAAGACAGGAAGCAAACCAAAAAACAGGGAAGATGAGATAAAGGATTGTTTTTTGAAATCAAAATAGGCAGAGCCAACAAAAAGGTGTTAAACCCTCCACATCTCTCAAGCCAACTGGAGCACTGGGGCCAGCCGCTCTTAAATATCACCCTTTGCCAGCCACCAGGTGGAACAAACTTCTAACGAGATGACAAGCCAAGCACAGGTTGTAAACACATACGACTAACAAGGTTGACGCCAATCGGTGCGCCCGGCATGCTAACATGCTAACGTCCAACCTCAAAAATATGAATGGAAAAATGAAGGCCTTTAACATAAATCAAAAACTGTAAACTCGGCCACTCAGGGAAACATTCAATGTCTTCTTGGTAAGCAACTCCAGTGAAGATTTGGCCTTGTGGTTTTAGGTTATTGGTCCTGCTGAAAGGGGGAATTCATCTTCCAGTGTCTGGGTGGAAAGCAGACTGAATCAGTTTTTCTTCTAGGTTTCTTTTTTTATCTGAAACTCCCCAGTCCTTAACAATTACAGGCATACCCATACACATGATGCAGCCACCACTATGCTTGAAAAATATGAAGAGTGATACTCAGTAAGGTGTTGTATTTGCCAACAAATATAACACTTTGTATCATAACCAAAAAAGTGACTTGCTTTGCCAACATTTTTTGCAGTATTACCCTTAGTGCCTTGTTGCAAACAGGATGCATGTTCTGGAATATGTTTTATTCTGTACAGGCTTAGTATTGTGGAGGTACCTACAATGTTGTGATCCATCCTCAGCCATTAAACTCTGTAACTGTTTTAAAGTTTTTTAAAAATAATGTCTTGGAGTGGTTCTGAATGTGGAGGGGAAAACTGAAACATTGTATGGCAGGAGGTTTGGAACTCTCATTTTTTGGCTATTACTATTTGCCAAAACCCAAAAACTAGGCCCTCAAA